AAGCCACATAAGGGCCAGGGTGGAAGTCGCAGTCTTGGAGAAGACTCTCCCTTGATTCCCTGCTCATCCTCAGCAATGAGATATCTTCCATTATGATCACATCCTATGGAAAATGTGGGGACAGGAATGATTATCAGGCCCCTCCTACAGTGCTGGCTCTCTCCAAGAGCCATGTGCTCAGTGTACAGTATGGTCCTGGAACACTGATTTCCCCTGCCCCTGCGGTTACTCACCATTTTGGGGGTCCTGTGGCTCATGTGTGCTTGCCTGGGGTCAGCCAGTTATTGACAGGTATGCGAATAGTGGCTGTGTTTTAAATCACTAAATCAGTGGTCTGTGTGTTGCAAACAATACTGCTTCTGTCAAACGTTGCATTTTGGTTTCACAGACCTGACCTTGGGAGCCCAGCCTCCCTCTTTGTTATCACTGGTTGAAAGGCTGCGCAGAATTAGAAAGAAGAACTAAAGAGGACTTTCTGTCATGATGCACTCCGCGGCTGAAAAACAAGAACTAAAGGAATGGCGGGACAGTGAGAAGAGGGACCAAAGTGAGACTGCGGTGTGCCAGAACGAAGCCATGGAATGGCTCTTAAACGTTATGGAGTGCCAAGCAGACACACTCCAGATGCTACTAGGACTGCAAACCAAGCAGCTCCACACCCGCCCTCCCCGGCAGCCGCTGTTGCAAAACTCTTTGACACCGCCAACACATACTTATCAACCTCCTGGCTCCAGTCTGTACCTGGTGCATTCCACTCCTGCCCTGTCACACAGTCCAGCCCTGCGGACTCCAAGTACCCACTGCACTCAACACCTGTCCCTCTGCAATTTAGCCCTGCTGAAGAACAGTACCCGCTGCACTGTACTCCAAAGGACAAGGTTGCATATGATACCTGGACATACACAAATCTTTAACCATCCCGGGACCCCAGCTCCTCCTGGGACCTTCCCTTCCCCCAGCCCCCACAGTGCTGATGTGTTTATTTGTTTGTCTCTCTCCTCCAGTTGTTGTTTTTTAATAAAATAATTGTTTTGGTTTGAAAGCAATCATTATTCCATTAACTGAAAGCAAACAGAGTCCTGCAAAGCAACAGGCAATTTGCTTAAACCTTCACAGTGCGTTGTCTGCACCAATCACAATTACCTCCTAGCATTACAAGCACTGCACTCCCGAGCATAGCAACAAATATTAGTGGCTTTCAGATGCCTCAAGGTATCCCTGATCCTTATGGCCCCGCACTGCGCCCATCTAATAGCCCTGGTCTCTGGTTGTTCAAATTCAGCCTCCAGGCGCTGAGCCTCAGCAGTCCAGCCCTGAGTGAAGCTTTCACCCTTCTCTTCACAAATATTATGGTGTGTACAGGATGTCTTTCGGAGCAGGATGCGATTAATGGCCCTGCACACTTCCATCAACACGAGTCCAGCGGTCGACTTTCCTACTCCAAACTGGTTAGCGACCGATTGGTAGCAGTCTGGAGTAGCCAGCTTCCACAGTGTACTTGCCACGCACTTCTCCAGTGACCGGGCAGTTCTCATTCTCATGTCCTTGCGCCAGAGGGCTGGGGCGAACTCATCACACAGTCCCATGAATGTGGCTTTTCTCATCCGAAAGTTCTGCAGCCACTGCTTGTCATCCCAGACATGCATGATGATGTGACCACCACTCAGTGCTTGTTTCCTGAGCCCAGAAACAGCGTTCTACTGTGGTCAGCACCTCTGTGAATGCCACAAGCAATCTCATGTCGTAGCTACTATGCGTGGTGAGATCAATGTCAAACTGCTCTTGCCTTTGTACTTTAAGGAATAACTCCACTGCCACTCATGATGTGTTAGTGAGAGCGAGCAGCATATTGGTCAACAGTGCGGGATCCATTCCTGCAGACCGAAGAGGCAGAGCGCGCAGTACACAAACCATTGAAAGATGGTGCCAAATGCGGACAGAAGCACAGGGATTGCTGGGATGCAAAGCAATGCATCACGGGGCATTGGGACAGGACCCAGGATGCCCCACGACCCCCTCCGCCTTCCCGCAACTCTTAGCAGCAGAAGAGGAAGAGATGCTCTCTGGGATAGCAGCCCAGAGTGCACCGCTCCGAATACCGATGCAAGTGCCGCAAATGTGAACACGCTATTGTGCAGGCAGCAGAGAGTATGAACACACAACAGCGGTTTCCCTTCAGCACTCTCTGAGCAGCGATGTAACTGCCAGCAATGTAACTCTGCCAGTGTAGACATACCCTAGTTCAATTATTAAAATGATGAGCTTGGGTAATTGTAAATGACAAAGTAGGAGAAGATGCTTAACAATATTATTTTTACTGGATGATATAATTACAGCCACATGTGACAAAGGCTACTTTCCAAACTCTGGCAGAAAGAAGTTAATAACAAAATAGTTTGCTAAGCATTGACATTATCATGGTGTAAAGAGTAAGCAAGGGCTTTAAAACTGAGGACACCAGATGACAGAGTTCTTCAAATCAGTGTCAGCATACTCAGTGCCATCAGTATCCCAACTTCCAGGACTTCTCCATAAGACTGACAATGAAGTTTATGCCATACAGGCTTACTCTTCCCCCTCCACCACCACCCATGCATGCATATTCATTATCAAAGTGCCCCAGGGTTACAATGTAAAGCCAAGGAAATGATCTTTTTCCCAAGCAGGGACCTAAGTAACACTGACAGCAGTAATTAGATTTCCAGCATTTGTTAATCTTTTGAAAAGAGATGCTTGTAAATTTCCTATTAATGAGAATTGTTAAACAATTGCAGCATGGAAAAAATAGATAATCATTCTGCAGGAATCTTGTAAAAGTTGTTATAAGCATATTTTAATTCATTGTTATGTCTTTCATTTTCATAAACTGGACTTTTATTCTGAAATTCTCTAAATAAAACTATTAAGTAGTGGCTCCCAGCTAATACAAACCTCTATTACAGTAGGTAGCTAGCCTTAAATTTCTAAAAAATCTGAATGTGAGTGAATCATTGAGACAAAAACTATTGCAAGCAATCAGAAATAGGAAGATATGTGTAAAATAGGCTGAGGAGTTCTTTCTCTTTCCAGTCCAGGATATATATTGATTTATGAAGGGTCCAGGACTGAGGTCAAAGGGAGTTTTGGAACTGACTTCAGTGAAAGTAGGATTTTACTGATCACTAAGAAATTATATTGTAAGATACCAAGGGCCTGATTTTCAGAAGAGCTGAGCACCTACAATTCTAACTGAAATCAACAGGCGCTGTGGGTGCTCAGCACCTTTGTAAATCAGGCTCTCAGTGCAGTGGTTTAGACGCTCATTCCAGGCTACGGTATACTTCATAACTCCCTGAAAAAATTAATGATTTCACTAATACAGCATGAAGCATGAGGATGTTACTGGGGAACTGGGTTGCATTTCTTGTTGGACCACAGATATAGGGAATATAATAATAAGCATTATTTAGCAAAAAGCAGCATTTAAGGAAAGCAGAGAAGAATATTCCATAAGGCGTATGCTTGTCTGTCGTGTTACAGAGTCAGATGGCCTAGACCTTGGAAAGAAAATCAGCATCCCCAGAGACATCATGGTGGAGGAACTATCAGTACTCAGCAACAGAGGTGCGAGGCTATTCAAGATGCGTCAAAGGAGATCTGACAAGTACACCTATGAAAACTATAATTATTTAGCAAATAAGCAAAGGAATGTGAGTATTTTGTATTACAAGTTTCTAAATACAGTACAATGAGACCGGTGTGGGGTTAACTATGATTTGCATGGTACTGATTGCAAGAATTATCCATAGCTTTAGGAAAAGATTTGAATTGAACCATGACCTGGAACAAGGCCAGTGTGAAACATAAAGTGAGCTGTATCATTTTGAGGTCTTCTAGACAAATCAAAAAAGGCTCAGATCTGGGTGCTGCTTTTAGGTCCCACAGAATGGGACAACAAGGTTCCAGGGCCTCAGGTTGAAAGTATTCACATCCAAATATGACTCAGGTCAGTAGTGACCAAAAGTCATTACCATGTGGCAGCTGATTGGTGATTTAGGATGATGTAAGGATTACTTTGTTAATAACAGCTGAGGGCTTTGAAGATGCAAAGTTTTATATACACAGCAAGTATTAATATTATTATTGTTATTATTACTATTAAAATAGGTTGGTGATCTTATTCCAGTTCCTAGTCAGTAACATCACCTGTGCAATTGGCACTAATAGTCTTCCTTGCTGGCACTCTTAGGAAAGGAGTAAGGAATTAAATGGGCCATGGGGACAAAACTGCCCCTTGAGCTGGCCCTTAAGGAATAGGGTTGAGACACATTTGTGGGATAGTAGAAATTGCTGACAGGGAATCAGATGCTTCTATATTCTAATACTAGTTTTGACACTCATTCCTTCTGGGGCCTGGGGTAATACACCTAACCTCTCCGCCTCGTTTTCTACATTTATAGAAATAGTAATAATTACATTTACAGATTCACCTAGTTCTCAGGTGTGTTGTGAAGTTTAATTAGTTAGGGCTCTCTCCTGCAAGGTTCTGAGCATTTCAGTCCCAGTCTAGCAAAACAATTAAACACAGGCTTAACTGTAAGTGAGTGAGTAACCCCACTGACTTCAATGCTGGTTCAGGCCCTTAATGCACTACAGTCCGCATTTCAATTCCATGCATACTTCCCCACTGATTTCAGTTATGAAAGCATGTGACTGAGGAGCACAATTTGTCCCAGCATCTTTAAACTGCTTCAAAGATGAAGAGAGCTGTATAGGTATATATATTATTAATTAACCTAGAAAACAATTATTGCTAGATAGCAATTCCCATCCCCCAACAGTTTTTAAAACCTTCAAAGATGTTTCAAATGGTGGTGCTAATGCTTTTGGGTCCAGTCCAACTGCTAGTGAATCAAAACTTCCATTGACTTCAATGGAAGTTGGATCAGATTCTTCATTTGGGGCAAGAAAAAAAATATATATATATAAGGTATTGATGTGAGGTAGTATAACATTTTTATTGGCATGAGTATGGGATGAGCAGCACATTACTCAGGACTGGCAAAACACCAGGTGTTAAGGAAAACTATATATTGCATCACAGCATTGGGTATTTTGCTCTGAAAAAGCTATTTTAGCAACTCTTTTACAATTGTAAACATGTAGGGAGGGTTGGGTACTATACTGAAGCCAGGTTGGCTAAGTTACTATGAACTGGTCTCAGAAAAAAAATGCAATAAAATAACAATATCATCTGCTGGATTCCTGGAAGCTTTTGATCCAGTTCATGAGGAGGAGCTTTGGGTAGCAGACCAGTAGTAGAGCCTTCCCTATTCCCCGCTGCCCATACTAATCAGAATGCTGAGGGAGTCCATGGCAATCAGATAGTATAAGATTATATTCATAAACAGGGGTTGAAATCCTCAATATCACACCTGAACTCTCCAATATCTTGCCTTGTTACCTATTCAAGGAAGAAATCTTAGCTCTGTGATCTGTTATCGTTCAGAAGCCCCTGCCTTTTCAGCTCAATAAATGGACTTTGCTCATAGATGAGACTCTGTCCCAATATCCTGTCATAGATAAAAAGATAGATTTTATATTCATTTTTTGTGATGAGTAGAAGGAAAACAGCTGGTGACTGGAGCTTCCAGATTTTCATTCACTCAGTCAAAATTAAAATGAGGACTAGGGCCAAGTTTTGATGTTGAGAAGTGCTGATTTTCAAAGATGCTCAGCACCCCTGAAAATCAGGCCATTTATTTAGGTCTTAAATGTAGATATAGGGTGGGATTTTCAAGGGCACTCAGCATTGGCCTAGATGCTCCCACTAACGTCAATAGGAGCAAAGTTATCTGAACGGTTAGCTGAGCACTTTTAGAAATCCCACCCTAAAGTGTTCACCTTTAGGCACCCAAGTTTGAACATTTTGACCTTATGGTTTAATATTTATTTAAGCTGAAAAATCTGAGGGCTAGAGTAAGTTAGCATGGCTCCATTGAAATGAACGATTTACACTACCTGAGCATGTGGGCCTGAGATTTTGAAAGCTGGTGGGCCAGATTCACCAATACAATCTGGCTGATTTGCACTGCCCTGGTAATGCAAAGCAGCCATAAAACTGATTGAATTGGCCAATTCCTGAGGAAATATGCTGATGACACTCCTCCCTCCCTCCCCCGCAGCTGCATGTTAACTCCTTATGCAATAGATAATAGAAGCCATGCAGCCAAAGTTAAGTCTGATACTAGCACTATAACTCACATGGGATTTCTGCAGTCAGTTCCTTGTTCGGTTCCCTCTTTGGTATTCTCCACAATGTAAGCTGAGCCATTCATATTCACACAGACCCTAGGAAAGGGAGAGAATGATGCCTTTTTAGTTTCTGCTGACCTCCCTTAAGTGCCTGTTTGGTCAGCACTTGTGTGGCCTTGATCTACTCTGTGCCTTACACTGGAATGGATGATTTTGCCTGCTATGATTAAAATGATCTTTCCAATATACTTTAGGAGCATTCTAAAATGTACTGACCTGATCAAAAATATTTCCTTTGTTTCAAGTTTAAAAAAAAGTATTTGTTTGTTTTTTCTATCTTAAGGAAATCCTACTCCAACACACTCTATATTTAAGTCCCTTTTAGACTGTCTCTTATTGCTAAAATAAGTTACTGACTGTTTTTTTTACAAGCCTCTGATTCTGTATTTAAAGAAACAATGATTAAGGCTTTGGATGTTTCCTTAGAACCAATGACCTGATGGGAGGTGGGGATAACTCCAGCCTATTAAAAATCTCCAAGAAGTCGCCTGCACTAAGATTGTTGTGACTACTGTAAAACAAGAAAAAACAATCCCACAAAGGTGTATAGACTTTTTGTGTGGCTGATGCATTTTCAATTGGTATACAAAAAGCATTTACAGAGAATCAATGGCTTTTACATTAACCCGCCAGATGGCTTGAATCCTAGAATAGGAAGGATCTAGGATCAGTCTAGGGCAGTATTTCTCATCCAGTGGGGTCGTGAACTGTGGGGCAGGGGAGGTGTCATGAAAGACAATTGTGGGGTGGGAGTCCTAAGGCATTGACATTTTTATTGCAATCTAAACCAAAGAAAATCTTCTTCCCCCACTCCCCATACACACTTACCCTTCAAGGTCTAGTATTCTCTATCAGCCTCTTGAAACACAGACACACCTAAATTATATAGGCTTATCATTGTTATCATTAATACATTTTTTGCTCTTACTTTTATAGTACATGTGGGGGGTTTCACAAACATTTTTGTCTTTGAACAAGGGGTCACCAGCATGAAAATGCTGAGATACACTGATCTAGTAGATCGGGTCTTGGACTAGGTGATGGGTTCAGTTCTCAGCTCAACACAGACTTCCTGTGTGACCTTGGGCAAGTCGCTTACTATATCCCCTACTCAGTTTTCCATCTGTAATATGAGGATACTACTTCCCTACTTCGGAGAATCATATAACATCTCTTGATATGCATGTGCTATCAATGGTATTTGTTTCTATTCTAATGCAGCGTAGTGAACCTATGCAGAGTGTTAAAATGGAAACTAGCAGTGCCGAAGTTGGCCATCAGCACGCACCAATGACACCTCCTAATACACCTGACCCACGGAGCCCACCAAATCCTGAAAACATTGCACCAGGTAAAGTACAGACTATTGTAATTTGTGCACGTACTGAGTACTCAGCTATTTCACAGCACAGAAAACAGCAGAGCATTTTTTTACATGATCATTAATGGGATATTTATTAGGGATCAGCAAATTGATTCAAATGAGGTTAGAAGTACTGTAAAGAATGTATATGAATCTTCATTTGAAATGCAAATCAGAGTAGTTAACTTGCTTCAGTGTGGTTTATAAAAATCTTCACATACCTCTATTGTCTAGTTTCACACCAAAGTGGAAATACATAGATACATTGAGAGAGGCTATTCTCATGATATCTGTGAGCTAATTAATGCCATGAAACACTAGAAATCCCAGGAGACATTTAGGCCAAAGTATATTAGATAAGTTTGAATAAACATCTGGGGCCAGATCATCAGATCCTAAATCTGCATAACCCCATTGATCTGATCCTATCAATCTTAATTGTCTATCTGCACTAAAATTTTCAGCCATCTGAGCTTCAGCATCACTAATTTTATTACAGCTTCTAAATGTGAATCTGAAGTCACTGCAGATTCTGATTGAGCCCTTTATGTGGGAATAGCTGAGAGGAGAATTTGTCTCTCTGGATGTAGTGATATTTTTCTATTTTAAAGACCTTGCTTGCAAGGATCCTGTTTTCTTTATTTAAAGCCCTGAGCTACATGGAAGCCTAAAGACTAGAGCTGGCCAAATTATTTGTGACAAATAATTTGTTCAGTGAATATAGCTCTTTTTCCTTGTTCTGAATTATCCATAAGCAGGCAGAGGTTTTTACAAAGTCATTCTTTGTTCAGCATTGTTCAGTGCATGCATGTTTTGTGTAGACTTTTTCCAGCCAGTATCAACTGGATCAATGCCACTCTATCAGTGATTGCTAAAAGTACTAAGAGTTTTAGTACACTGTGTATCCATAAGCCCAATACAATGTGAATGGGTGCAATCTCTATTTCCAAAGTTGAGGTGTGATCTTTGAGCTCATTGTCTGCAGAAAATATTTGTCTGAACTCTGAATTTTTTTCTGATTTGGAAACAAAACAGTGTTTTTTATGCTGAAATGAAGCAATAGAGTTAATTTAGAGAATTAGAAACCTATCAAGGTAAAAAGTTAGGAATAATTGTCCCTCTTCTTCCAACAAATAATTTTGGCTCAGATCTTAGGACAACCCCTTGCTGTTTTTAATACTCTCAACTATGGTATATAGTAAGGGCTTGATTCTGCCACCCTTACGCCTGTTGTGTAGCACCTAATTATGGAAGTAATCCCACTAAAGTCAATGGAACTACTTATGTAGTAACGTACTGATCGAAAGGAGTAAGGATGAAGGAATCTATCCCTCATTGGTGAGGTTGAGAATGGGTCTGATTCTTCACTTGCTTGCATGGTGCAAGACAATGGAGAACCAGGGATACTGGATGGTTTTTCAAAAGTGCCTAAGGGATTAGGAGCATAGGCAGGGCTGGTTCCAGGCACCAGCGAAAGAAGCAGGTGCCTGGGGCGGCTAATAGAAAGGGGCAGCAGTCCGTCCGTTGTTGGGGCGGCACATCCGGGTCTGCAGTGGCAATTCGGCGGCGGGTCCTTCAGTGCCTCGCTTCCTCTTCGGTGGCAGCTCAATTGCTCCACTCAATCGGGCTTTTCTTTTTCTTTTCTTTTTTTCTTCGCAGCTGGGGGCGGCAAAAAAGCTGGAGCCAGCCCTGAGCACAGGTCCCACTGAAAGGCAATTGGACTTGTGCTCCTAACTCTTTTTAGTGCTTTTTAAAAGCCTACCCAAAGACTAGTCTACAGGCAGAATTGAATTATTTTAACTAAAGGTTTGATTTTAAACTCATTAGGTAAGCCAGTGCAAGAGGCTATGTGGACACTGCTACTTTGGTTTAAACCAGCTTAAATCAACAAGAAACAGGTTTAAGATAAACCAAAATAAACCACCCTTAAACCTAAATAAGAGCATCTATAAAGCCTTTTGCACTGGTTTAACTAAAGTGGTACAAATTCCCCTATGTTTGCTTCCTACTTCTATGTAGTCTTGGACAAGTAATTTAACCCTCTCTTTTATTCAGCTTACCCTTCTATAAAATGGATATATAATAATTCTTATCTACTACATAGGACTGAAGTGAGCATTAATTCATATGTGTAATTGCCCCTTTAGATACCTGGGTGAAAAGTGCTATAAAATGCAATGCATGCTTATAATTATTTATCCTTGATTTATTTCCATGAAGGATATTCTGGACCACTGAAGGAAATTCCTCCTGAGAGGTTCAACACTACTTCTGTGCCAAAATATTATCAGTCCCCCTGGCTAGAAGCCATCAGCAATGACCCAGAGCTGTTGGAGGCTTTATACCCTAGACTGTTTAAGCCTGAAGCAAAGCCAGAGCTGCCTGACTACAGGAGCTTTAACAGGTAATTTAGGAAGGAAGATGAATTTTACCGGACGGTAGAAATACATATGTGAAGTGGAATTTTTTTTAACCAAACTATATGGGAAAAAACTGGTTCATACATGCACACACACATGCGCACACGCACACACAAAGACTTTAAAGGGGAAAGCACAATTAGTCTAAATCTAAATAATGGATTCTAAAATAAGCTCTAGCATAAACAACACAAGAGGAAGGTCATAGTAAAAGACTAAGAAATAATTAAATAAAGAAGAAAAAGTAAGAGAAGAACACAATATCCAATGAAATGAGGAATTTGATGCATTTCTAGCAAAGGTGCTAGAACTAGGGATGCTGGGGGTGTTACCGCACCCCCTGGCTTGAAGTGATTTCCGTCATATACAGGGATTACAGTTTGGTTCAATGGCTTTCAACACCCCTACTATACAAATTGTTCCAGTGCGCCTGACTTGATGGAATAAATAGGACACAGCAAGGGCATGATCCAAAGCATATTAGATCTTTCCAATGACTTCAATGGGCACTGGATCAGTCCCCAAGTGAGCACTATGCAAAGGAGAGTTCTGGTTAGAGTTTGGTTCATAAGCACTATAATAGGAACCATCAATTTTTGTTTCTTTTTGTTACAATCCACAATCAACAGATTTGTGTTTTAGGGTCTGATCCAGCAAAGA